TCTACAAAGCAGCTGGTCTCGGCTGTCGTAGAGATAGTACAGACGGCGATCTCTTTATAGCCGCTTACACTAGAGAAAACTGATGATGCTGTCCGAGCAGAAGCTTGATCCGTTTGAGCATGGTATATAATGCGTGAACCACTGAAAGGGTACAGCTTAAAGCTAATCTGGTGGAATATCCAGCAATACTTTTTGTGGGGCTTTCGATTTCGATCGTCATTACAGGTGGATCAGATATCAGCCTTTGTGAGGGCGTCGAGAACGAGCTTTCTCGAACAAAATACGACAGGGAAAGTTAGCTGACGTAGGTAAATCTTAAACATGATGATATTGCCCAAGCCACGGGTAAAGTCATTATGTTTAGCTTTCTCTGATGCTTATTGAGCAGTCACAGGTTTCTACTGGAAAAGTTTTGTCGACAAATGTTCAATTTTCACCCGCACACGGATGGTGATAAACATCTCGGGGGCCGCTGGTGCGTCTGTTCTGAGCATTTCTTCACACACTGGTATATTTCAGCGTCTGTACGGCAACAGAGCGACTTAAAACCTGCAAATAAAGCACGGTGTGTCAATTGCTTTCTTCACGAAACAGCAGACGCTCACAATTCATGCTCGCATTTAATTCTGTTGCCGCGGGACGCGATTTCTATCAGAAAATCTACTTTTTTTTCCTTTCGGTTCCGCGACACATCGTAGCAGACGAACCCTCGTCGTCTGCTCCCGCTCCTCGCCGGAGCGAGGCATGACGGGATATCATTTTGGCGCACTCCCGATTTTCTCGGTGCAGCGAGTGCATGCACGCGTGGGGTGCAAGCGCTGAAACGAACTCGGAGTGTGCAACCACTCGTGGAGTGCCGGCTGAAACGAACCCGCTCCACACTGCGAGTGGGGGCGCGTGGGCACGAGTGCCGTGAAACGAACTACTTTTTTTTTCTTTTTATGAACTGAAACGCGTTGTAACAATTTACGGTTGAGGTGCAGGAGCTCGTGCGTATAGCTTAACTCATATTTTAAAGTAGCTACGGTTATTTTTGTAAAATATACTTGTCACGATAACGCATAGTTTCGGTTTGCTTCAACTCGCTTGGTGCCAATTTCCAAGCTAGCCGATGTCTCTTTTCCGACGTACGCACTAGACGCATCGCATCGTGTTTACGCGTTGGATCGATACAGGCACTCTTGGCGACTTCTGTACAGGTGTGGGCTTTATTATTGGTAATCTGTGTAGGAAAGGCCCCAACAGCAAGAAGCTTGAGATTGTTGAAAATTACCCGAGACATGTGATGCGACTAGTGCGTACATTGGAAAAGAGACGCCAACAAACGAACCATAACGCCCAACGTCTCCAATCCTCACGCAGGATGCTACTGCGCCTAACAAAGTCATTTAGGTGGTTTATCAGCAAGTGGCCGTAAACGGATGACCAACTCTACAAAATTATAAAGTGCGAAGGAATACATTTCTAGCTAAAATAGTGCTTATTACCGTTTAGAGAAAAAAAACCAAAAAAAAACGTGATTTTGATTTTTTGTGCACCGAAATGCCCGTGCACCGAAATGTCTGTACACCAAAAAGCCCGCGCATCGAAAAGTCCCACACCGAAAAGTCCGTGCACCGAAAAGTCTGTGCACCAAAAAATCCGTGCACCGAAAAGTCCGTGCACCGAAAAGTCCGTACACCGAAAAGTCCGCACCGAAACGTCCTACACCGAAACGCCCTACACCGAAAAGTCCTAGACCCCGGTGGTTCTAACGAGGCTTATAACTAGTGCATGAAAATATCCGTCAAACCGGTTATCCGGCTAAACCGGAGGAGAGCGAATCCGGTTACCAAAGCCGGTTATTCGGTTAACCGGATTTTCGAATTCGAATATCCGGTTTGGCAAACCGGTTGTTCGGTTAATCGGTTATTCGGTTTTATTTCATGTATCCTGATGACCAGTACATGAAACAGCATTTCGTGCCCTGTATTTTTCGTAAATGAAAACCCAGCAGATGGATTTTTTTAATGCGATAACATTTTTCAGCTTCCCCCCCCACCCCCCGATATCGTGAACCTTTCTGGCCGACCTTTCCGGCCTCCTAATTCGCAGTTTCCCCGTTAAATTTAGGGGGAAAATTGTAGTCCCATGCACGAATTCAGTTTCCCCGCTAGAATTAGCGGAAAATTTGAAGCCGCGTGATTTATATATTAATCTAGTTTCCCCACCAAATTTAGCGGCAAATTTTATTTCACGTGACCTGACGTTAAAGGACCAACGAACCAATTCAATTTCCCTGCTAAATTTAGTGGAAAAATTGACGTTACATGACCTAAGTACTAATTCAGTTTCCCCGCTAAATTTAGCGGGAAATTTGATGCAACGGGACCTGACGCCACGGGACCTACACACCAATTCAGTTTCCCCGCTAAATCTAGCGGAAAAATTGACGTCACATGACCTAAGTACTAATTCAGTTTCCCCGCTAAATTTACCGGGAAATTTGATGCAACAGGACCTGACGCCACGGGACCTACACACCAATTCAGTTTCCCCGCTAAATCTAGCGGAAAAATGGACGTCACATGACCTAAGTAATAATTTAGTTTCCCCGCTAAATTTAGCGGGAAATTTGATGCAACGGGACCTGACGCCACGGGACCTACACACCAATTCAGTTTCCCCGCTAAATCTAGCGGAAAAATTGACGTTACATGACCTAAGTACTAATTCAGTTTCCCCGCTAAATTTAGCGTTAAATTTGATGCGACGGGACCTGACGCCACGGGACCTACACACCAATTCAGTTTCCCCGCTAAATCTAGCGGAAAAATTGACGTTACATGACCTAAGTACTAATTCAGTTTCCCCGCTAAATTTAGCGTTAAATTTGATGCAACGGGACCTGACGCCACGGGACCTACACACCAATTCAGTTTCCCCGCTAAATCTAGGGGAAAAATTGACGTTACATGACCTAAGTACTAATTCAGTTTCCCCGCTAAATTTAGCGGGAAATTTGATGAAACGGGACCTGACGCCACGGGACCTACACACCAATTCAGTTTCCCCGCTAAATCTAGCGGAAAAATTGACGTTACATGACCTAAGTACTAATTCAGTTTCCCCGCTAAATTTAGCGGGAAATTTGATGAAACGGGACCTGACGCCACGGGACCTACACACCAATTTAGTTTCCCCGCTAAATCTAGCGGAAAAATTGACGTTACATGACCTAAGTACTAATTCAGTTTCCCCGCTAAATTTACCGGGAAATTTGATGAAACGGGACCTGACGCCACGGGACCTACACACCAATTCAGTTTCCCCGCTAAATCTAGCGGAAAAATTGACGTTACATGACCTAAGTACTAATTCAGTTTCCCCGCTAAATTTAGCGGGAAATTTGATGAAACGGGACCTGACGCCACGGGACCTACACACCAATTCAGTTTCCCCGCTAAATCTAGCGGAAAAATTGACGTTACATGACCTAAGTACTAATTCAGTTTCCCCGCTAAATTTAGCGGGAAATTCGATGAAACGGGACCTGACGCCACGGGACCTACACACCAATTCAGTTTCCCCGCTAAATCTAGCGGAAAAATTGACGTCACATGACCTAAGTACTAATTCAGTTTCCCCGCTAAATTTAGCGGGAAATTTGATGCTACGGGACCTGACGCCACGGGACCTACACACCAATTCAGTTTCCCCGCTAAATCTAGCGGAAAAATTGACGTCACATGACCTAAGTACTAATTCAGTTTCCCCGCTAAATTTAGCGGGAAATTTGATGCAACGTGACCTGACGTCACGGGACCTACACACTAATTCAGTTTCCCCGATTAATTTAGTAGAAAATTGACATCACGTGATCCCACATCAACCTCTATGGTTCAAGTCCCTGAAGGTTGTCCTAGAAATCGCCCTTAAGTTCGTCCGTTCATTGAAAAAACTTAGAGGTTGCATAACTCTTTTGGGGATTACAAAATGGCCTTTCAGAGATTAGTTGCGAAGGCGTGGCTATTATACAGGTAGCGGGCCGTAGAGCTAACCGCCAGTTTTGTTCCATGACGTTCAAAATTGCACAAGAAAAAACAAGTAAGAGCTATATTTTGTTTGTATAATATTCCGGTTTACCCAGTGCCGTTCAATAAAAAAAAACAAAAAAAAACGTGCTAACAGTATTTCAGCCGCGTTTTCTGCACCAGTTCTGAAAAAAATCATGCCTACCTGAAACAAATATCTCTAATACACCATTCAGGTTCCTGGAGAGAACGGTGATATTCCGATGGAAATTTATTGACACAACTTTTTGGTCAGCTCAAATAGAAAACAAAACATCCATTTTTTATACATTCACCCAGTACGTCATTTCAGTGTTTTCTCAATTTTTAATATCAACCCAATATCGTACACACACACAAAATTAGATATCCAACCTCTTAAGATGAACATAAATATACTACGAATATAGCTTGTGTAATTATCGCGTTAATTAGGATATGTAAAAAAAAAACAAGCTTGATGCACAAGTACCAGTTTAAGTTGAATCACTGTTGAAAGATGCGCGAGTTGGTTATAATTTATAAATGACAAAAAAAAAAAAAAAAAACACCGCTAAAACACGACAAAGGACAGAGAAGAGAACACATTCTGTGTCACCCTTTTCTGTCCTTTGTGGGTTCCTAGGTTTTTTTTTCCGTAATGCTGAATATTAGTATCCCTTTGATAAAAAAAAAAAACGTACATGGGGTACTTTCTCTCATAGAGCGGCTGGAAGTCGCCTGCATCTTTATAGCTAGACTGAATGCGGAATGAGCTGTGCCGATTTGTCGTAAGCAAAAGTTTATAACGCCATCTTTATCTTACTCGTTTAACAAATTATTTCGTTCATGAAATGTCTTGTGCATTTTACAAAATTATTAAAAAGGACGCAAATCTTCTTGCGTGAATATTACGACAAAAATGATTAAAAACGTATTCAAACTGTCGTAGCGGTTCTTCATCAATGTTGTAGATTTTTAAGAGCCATACGTCATTTTAGCTGTCAAAGTACGACCTATTTTGATACAGAAACACCAGCGAACTGACGTTTTCTGGCAGAAGGCAGCTTCTCTTAGCCGTAACTATATTTCCGGCTGTAGAAAATACGCGCTCGGAGCTCGCGGACGAGGCAGGGATGCACATGTACTTCATCGCAAGTTGCGCGACTGCTGGGAACTTGGACTCGTGGTCTCTCCACCATTTGAGAGCGTCCAAGTTGTGCCCCAGCTGTGGCTCGGACAGGTAAGCTTCGAACTGGGCCGAAAGGTCGCTGGAAGACGACTGGGTGTTAAAGAGTCTGTCGAGCGCAGTTGCTTGCGGTTGACTCGTGCTCGCCCCGTCTTCGCCGACCGAAGGTGTCGTGTCTCTCAACAAGTTCATTATGTTAGTACGGATTTCTTGCCTGGCACTGGGCTCCTCACACTGCAGGTCTTTATACCTGGGATCTAAAAACGAAGCCCTCTGACGTGCGCTCACTGCGCTTTCCCGTGGGTCCCACTCCATGGAAAATGGGCGAACGGTCTCTAACCGAACAACTTCCTTGAACCTTCCTACCAGGGGGTCATCTGTAAATTGGGGCTCGAGTTTCACCATGAGCGCCCTCATCACAGGGCGAACCATGGACACTGGGGATGCGGTGTCGCTGCACAGTACTGTAGTAGCTAAGTGAAGTGGCTCGAGAACGTCACACAGTTCGCGGATGGTGTCCCACTCCTGCTCACATATCTCAAGATTCTGTGCTACTTTCGCTGTTACGACTGTGCGATCAACAAGCACGCTCTCAATTGCTGGTCTATTTTTGATCAGTTTTGTGAGCATTTGGTACGTCGAGTTCCATCTCGTAGGGCAGCTTTGTGTTAAGCGCTCTGGGAGTAATCCAAGCTGCTCCTGCCTTCTACTGAGCCCGTCACTGGCTATTGTTGAGTGCTTGAAGTGAGCCACCAATTTCCCAGCCTTTCTGCAGAGGGATTCAATTTCGTGGATATTCATGCCCTTGTTCACGCTTAGATGAAGACTGTGTGCTGAACAAGTCAAATCCCTCGACTCTAAAAGGCTCGGAAGGCCTTCTACCGCGTTCGTTCCATTGACTGCGTTATCTGTGACTACAGCTGTAACCTTGCAGTCCAGGTTCCAATACGAGATTACTTGTTGCATGCGCATCATAAGGTTTTCTGCTGTGTGTCGCTGATCCATCTCCTCTGTTGCCAATGCAAAGGATTGCGGTTTCCAGTTATAGTTCAAGGTGTGCGCAGTCACTGTAATGTAGGAGTCCTGCGCCCTAGACGTCCAACAGTCAGAGGTGAGTGCTACGGCAGATGCAGAGTTGAGTTGAAACGTCACCTTCTCTTTTAGTTGCTCATGCAGCAGGCTCATACGGCTTTTTAACGTAGTTATCGAAGGTGCTTTGTAACTTGGCTCGACCAGCTCCATAAAGTTCCTGAATCCGGAACTTGTTGTGAATGACAGGGGCAACAGGTTGACAGCTATCATTTTTGCTAGCGCCTGGTCAATCTTCTCCTGCCTCTCTGTGCATCTTGTTCGCTTTCTTCTTGGTTTATGCATGATTGATGACTGAGACGTTGCAGGTCTGGTGTCCTCGGTGCTGCCAGGAGGGTCATCAGTAGTAGACTCGTCGGTGTCTCTCTCATCCAGGGTAGGCTGGCTATAAGAAACAAAGTCAGCATGTCAAGTCGTGCCTGTGTACACAGTTTTGCAAGATCTTTATTTACACAGTGGCATTTTATACTTAATAGAGACAGGTGGGTATTTTAAGCACATTCACTTGAACCTGAATCAGGAATTGACAATTACCTTCTTCTTGGCAATTATGAAGTGAGATCGCATGTCTACTGCCATGTACAGCACTTTTCGAGCAGTTCATTTTTTTAATGCTCAATAACCGAAAATTACTTCGCTTATGGTAATAATAAAAGCAAATTAAAAAAAAAGAATATTCGGCTCAAAATTACAGTACTCGCATGAACACGTCACGTCAAACTTTTTTAAAGTTGTCACCGAGTTGCTTTGGAGTGAACCAAGCGCCGATAGAACCACAGAACCGAAGCTTGACTAAAAAGTCAAGCTTCGAGATGCTCGTAGCTGTCATAAACGCCTCATCGAGAAGTAATTTTGTTTTATGCAAATCTTGTTTTATGACTATCTTGTTTGAATGTTTGTCTCATTTGATAAACTACCAAAAATCTACAAGAAGTGGTGCACACCTATTAATAGTAAACTTAATGCTATCAAAAGTAAGGCCCATATTTAACTACCGATGACGAACAAAACATAGTTAATCAAGAGCCTACTTCAGAAACAACTCAGCTTGCGGATAATAAAAGTTAGTTACACGGCGAAAGTAAAGCAGAGTAGCAAAGAAGGTACGGTTAGAGTTAGTAATCACGTGCGCGGCGAAGCTCCGGCCTACCAGCTGCTTCTCGGCCTCCAGAGGACATTTACTACGCGGTGGGTTCATCGTTGTACAGCGCGGTCTGGCCGTTAATTGTTAGCCAACGCAAGCAGCGTACTCTCCGCGGCATTTCTTCTTCCTTTTCTTGAAGACTAGGTCTTCGTCCGTTAAGAGCCGGCGATCTCGGAAAGCCAAAAATAATTAAGGCAACCATTGTTAAGACTAGCAGATGAAGCTGGCATTCGGCGCCCAAACGCCTGACCCTGACACCACTCTGCACGAGAAGCGGACGATACTAGATATAAAGCCCGCCATCCTTCATGTCCACACTCATTACTTTTTAATGAGAGCTCAGCTCTCTGACATCACCGCATCCTGCGTTCAAGAAGTAGACAGATTTTCTCCCCTCCTCTTTTTATTAGCCCGCCGCGTAGTTTCGCTTATTAAGTATTGCAGCTACTGAGTCTGATCGAGAAATCGATACATTGTTTTTCGACCCGCAATAATAAGCTGTGTCCCGCATAAAGATCGAACTTGCTCCTAATGTGATTCCAGCGCTGGTTAGAAATATTGAAAGTTTGAGGTCATGGCGTTGTCTGAAGCATAAATTACGTTAAACATTTCTTTATGGGCAGTCGCCCACCTATTATTATTCTTCAAACAAAGAAAGGACATCATGGTCTTCACTAACACTTTTTTTTAAAAAAATGTTAGCAAGAAAGTAAATACTGTTTTCTTTCTTTCTCAGACCTTCTCTCACTGAAATAAATGCTGCCAGCGCCAAGAATGCCATTTTATGGTTTAAGCAATACTGGGTGTAGCTGGGCTCGGCCATAAATAAAATTTGATGATCAGTATCATCCTTTCATCTAGATAATGTGATGAGCTGAAATTTTCAAACTTTTGCATTTTATCACCACCAGTTGGTCACTCTCGCGGACCTTCGGCTTTATGCGGTGCGTAGGTTAATATACTGCGCGCCCGAAACCGGTTAGTCATTTATTAGCAGTTTCTTTTTAACGCTACTGATTCGACGTGTCGCATTTCATGAGAACCTAAAAGATGCACCTCGAAACAATATACAATTGTGTTCACAAGTAATGTTTTGTTACTTACCATTGACGTTTTGTTGTTGTTTTTTGAAGTCCATGCTCCTTGGACAGGTGCGTTGCGACGGACGACGTAGACATGTTAGTTTGAAAAATCTCGTCACAAATATTGCACTGCGCCGTTGTGCCGTCCAAAGATCTTGTCGCGTGTTGCCATATCCAGCTTCGCAATTTGCCCATCACTACCAGGGACCGAGCTTGGTTTTTGGTCAGAGCGAAAATTCAAACTCGATGTCTCAAAACGAGCTGGAATGCCAATGGCAGGTGATGTCTGTCTGACAACGCCACCGAAGAACCGGCGTTCGTCTGCTAACAGGACTGAAGAGCGGGGGTTCGTCTGGTAATACGAGCAAAAAAATTGGGCTTTGTCTGCTAAAGCGGGCAAAAAAACGGAGGTTTGTCTAATAACGCGAATACACTGATCTCTATGACAATTGCTGGATCGCGTTTGCCCGCTCCGCGAATGCGGTCACTGGCGGCCATCTTTAGGTAGAGTTATATCACCTCTAGCCAATGTAAGCTGCTGCAGCCGCTATCATCCATCCATGGCAGATAGCGTTTTGGCAGGTGGGTTGGCAGGCTGCGGTCAAAATAGCGTGGGTGATATTGCGTGCTTGATTAAAATTATTTGACGAAACATGTTTTTGAAACCCGGCGTGAACAGTAGTCCGGTTTTTGAGGACCTGGTAAAAGTTTCACGAAATCGCAGCACCGGGAGAAAAGCAGCACAGCACGTATCGAAAGTCGCATCGAAAGAAGCATCGAAAGCAGACGACGGTACGGAGTCTGCTTTTGATGCGAGCTGCGCTGCTTTCCCCCGGTGCTGCGCTTTCGTAGAACTTTTGCCGGGTCCTCAAAGATGAGGCTACCATTCACGCCGGGTTTCAAGAATCTGCTTCGTCGAACAACTTCAATCAAGCACGAAATGTCACCCACGGTACCGTGTACTAGATCTACGGCTATTTTATGGCAGACTGCCGCCATTGCGCTGTCCGCCATATTACTATGATGGCTAGAGATGATATAACTCTACCTAAAGATGGCCGCCAGTGACCGCATTCCGGTCCATAGGAGGAGCTGGTCAAACGCGATCCAGCAAATAGACATAGAGATCAGTGCGCGAATAAAATGCGGGGGTTTGTCTGCTAACGCGAGCGAAAAACGGGAGTTCGTCTGCTAACAATAGCGAATAACGTGCATTCGTCTGCTCGAGCGAAGAGCAACACTTCGTCTGGTAATGCGGAGGAAAAATAAAAAAAAAAACGGAGTTTTTGTTTTGTTAAAGCGACAAAAAAAAATAACTGGGGTTCGTCTGCTAACGCAAAGAAAAAAAATGGAGGTTTGTTTGCGAACGCGAGCAAATAAACGGAAGTTCGTCTGCTGACGCGGCAGACCGGACGCTCGTCAACTAACACTGCTAAGAACTGGCGGGGATTTGTCTGCATCAATGCATATTTCGCAAACGAAAACAAAATAAAAATAAGTGAGAAGCTCTTACACGTAATGGGCTAAGTGAATTGGAGAAAAATAGTCTTTTATAAATTTAATTTTGCAGGTGATCCGATCGAACAAAAGCACGACCTCTGAACATAGGCGATTTTGCTGGCAAGCGGTCGACAATCAATACTCCCCTTGGAAATGTATAGTCATTTTGCGGCCGTAAATAATCTAGTCGCAACCATAGAAAAAAACGAATTGAAACAAGCACGTCTGCTGCCATGTCAAGTGTACGGTTTACTACGGTTAATAAAATGCCATTTTGTCGAAGCACGTTTTAGGGAACGGGCACGTTTTAACGAAGCACAGTTTAGAGAAAGCAGAGTCTCGGTTTAGACAAATGCCGTTTATAAAAAAGGGGACGCTATTTAAAAAAGGGTTTTCTACTTCGCGCGTGTATCACTGGTGCTCGTGTTAACCCAAGCCCCCCGCTGCGCTCCCGCCGCTTCGCGGCGGCAGTCTGCGGCGGCTCACTACAAAAATCTTAACTCAGCTGACTTATCCGAACACGCCACTTCGCGACGGCCGAATCCGCTAAAAGGGGGCTCATCGACATTTTCTCTAAACTGGGTTTCTCTATAAACAAATTTGATAAACTGGGGTCGGTAAAAGGATATTCACTAAAACGAGCTTCTCTAAGCCGAACAATCAATCGCGAACAATCAATCGCCGGATTTTCTTTTTTTCTTCTTTTTATTAAGGCTTTTATTAAATTCACTTGTGTGGTAAAAAGAAATGACTTCGCGATTTAATAAAAACCAAAATATTTAGTGTCATCCAAAATCGTTTTTAAGGATACAAAAACCACCGATGTCGCGTTTGTATTATCAGTGTCGTGCAGGTACCACAATCCACATGTCGGTGAGTATTTCAGAAGGAACTTCTTCACGAAAAAATTCTTACACGTAAATTCCCCACGGAATAATAAAATATGGTAGATGTGCCGAAAACTTTCGTTCATCACAACGCTGTAACGTTTAGTCCAATGGCCAGCCGAATGATAAGCAGCACGCCAGTTGTACTGCTTATGTGAAGATATGTCGATGACGATCGATTCTTATTGCGCCGATCCTGAGTCCTACGTTGATCTGATATTTAAAGGATGTTGCCTTGATTTAGTGCCGATATGTTGTTGATGAATAAATGATTTTAATGTCGTGATCTGTTTTCCCGCCAAATTTAGCGGGGAAACTGAATTGGCGCATAGCTCACGTGACGTCGATCTTTCCGCCAAATTTAGTGTGGATACTGATTTAGCCAAATTTAGCGGGGACCTTAATATCCTGTAAGTCCCATGACGTCAGGTCACACGACATTAATATGTCCGCCAAATTTAGCGGGGAAACTGAATTGATGCATAGGTCACGCGATGACAATTTTTCCGATAAATTTAGCTGGGAACCTGAATTTCTCTGCAGGTCACGTGATTTCATGTCATGTGACATTAATTTTTCCACCAAATTTAGCGGGGAAAC